GACAAACTCTCACTGCGAGAACTACAACATAATGCTTGGCCATGCCATCCTTCCTGAACGACTCCTTACGGAGAGAAGCCTTAACAAAGGATCCCGTGCCAAAAGAACCCGCACGTAAGGAAGCCGTTTCTAATGATGCCTCACTGGGGGGGTCCTCTTGTGTTTTTCAAGATACAAAACATGATCAACAAGTCCGTACTGCATGCGTCCTTCTTACTAGGAGGCCTTACGAAGGAGTTCGTATTTCCCTTTCGTGGGAAACTAGCACGTTGATCGCAAAAGTGGGCCAGAAGAGCGATGCGGATGATACAGAGAAGTAGGAGGAGTAGCTCATATATATATATATATATATATATATATATATATATATATATATATACATATATATATATATATATCGAACCCTCTCTCCTTCAACAAGCGCCAAAATGGTCCCACACGGGGGTCCCTCGGCAAGTATGCGGAAGTATCAAGCGAGAGCGGCTGATGTTGCCGACCAGGGGGCAAAAGCACAATCTCAGACTCACGATTTCCCCTTGTTAGGAAAGGTGCGAGCCTCGGGAGGGGCACTTTGATGTAAAAACCAAATGGAAATCAGAGGGGGGGTATCAATCATATTTGATAGTTAGAACGAAGGCTAGACTCTGTTTGATGTGTTTGCGAGTCGCTCAGCACGTGGATCCCAAGCCGTCGATACCCACCCTCTTCGAATTCGGTCGTACCCCTCTTGGGGGTATTTCTTCCTGACCTGCCACGTGTAGTTGACGCATCCCTGCCATGTGCGGGAGAGAGGATGGAACGAAGAGACGAGGGGGGGAAGAAGACGGATCGAGCACGAGAGAGAGGATAGCACGAGTGGGCTGAAGAGCAGAAAGGAAGCTGCAGAACCACACTGGCGGGTCGGGCGGGCGGGCCCTGACGGAACGGGCTGGGCTGGCGGGCCCAGATGGCCGGGTCAAGCGGGCGGGTCGCTGAAGCGCCAATCCTTCATCAATCGCGAGGAAATCTCGAGGGATGTCGCGACTCCAGGAGAGAACCGTGGGGAATTCCAAAGCAAGAGCGTGGTTCCTGAGTGTCGAGGGCTCGTCGTCTCAATACACTACGGGGACGCCCCACGCGAGAGCGCGGATCCTGGATAAATTGTGAGAAGTCCCGCGCAAGAGCGCGACTTGATTTGAACAGTGAGAAAACATCAGGCGGGAGCCGTTGTTGTTGCGCACTGGGGACAACATCCTAGTCTGAGGCGCAAGACTTTCCCTTGTAAATAACAACCCCGGAAGGGAAAGGTAAATTGGAAAACCCAATGGGCACTGGAGGGCGGGGTCAGCATAGTTATTTGAGAAATAAACAATTCAACAACAACAGCAACAACGATCATTTTAACACTGTTCGCCATGCTCGCGTGCCACTCAACATGTGAATCCCGAACCCTCGATGCCCACCCTTGCTTGGCTCGCTGTCTGTGGAGTGGGGAGGAGGAGCAGGAGGAGGAGGAGGGTGAGGGGAGGAGGAGGAGGAGGAGGAGCAGGATCAGGAGGGGCAGAATAAGGAAACAGAGAAGAAGGACAAATCGGCAGAGGAGACCGAGCAGGAAGAAAGGTGATGGGGAGGACGAAGGGGATAGAAGGAGGGGGAGAACACGATAGGAGGATCAGCTAACAATGAGTGCACCTTGTTGTTTTGGTAGACTGGGTGCGCTGGGTGGGGACAATGGCCGCCCATACATGTGCACCAGAACCATCGCGCGCGCTTCGCGCGCGCTCAAGATCTAGCTAGGCTGGGTGGTCGAACTCTTGGGGATCTCTATTCCATGACACTTCTTCTCCGGTGCTTCCAAGAACCACAAAGACAGCCGAAACGGCTTCCAAGACTTCCTACGGTCCACCCACGACGTCTTAATGAAGAGAGGCTCAAAAGGCACTGCAGGGGTCCTTTTATTCGCCGCGGCTGGACGTAGCTGGAGGAAGATGGAGGAGAAGGGGAGGTGAAGGGTTTCCCTGGGGGAGAAAGAGAAGGAGGATGAGAAAGAGTTGGAGAGGGTAGAAGAGACCACGGAGGAGGAGAAACCGGAGGAGGAGGATGGAATCTGATATCTCCTTTTGACCAGCGTAGCGAACCTGCCAGGCGAACTTTGAAACAAATGTTGGACATCCCATTTTTCTCAAGTGCCCTCGGGGCCTCTCTCGGGGCTTTTTGGGACCTTTTTGGGGCTTCTTGGGGGCCTCTTAAAGCCTCCTGGGGGTCTCCTGGGGCGAAGATCTCGGGTTCTCGGTTCACGTTCCCGATCCTGGGCCGCGGTCGGGGCCCTCTCGGGCCGTCTTGGAGGTCTCTTCGGCGCCTTTGAAGCCTTTTGGACCGTTTTGGGGCACTTTTGAAGCCTATTGGGCCGTCTTGGGGCGATCCTCGGAGCCTCACGGAGCGTTTTGCAGCGTCGGGATCGGACCAGGCGGAAACGCCAAAATTGTTCAAACACCTATGCAAAATACATGTGTTTTGGCATATTCGAGCTCTGTTGGGAGACCTCTTGGAAGCCTCTTGGGTATCTTGGGGGTCTCTTGGGCCGTCTAGAGGCCGTCTTGGGGCCTCTCGGAGCCTCCTTGGGGTTTCTTGGGGGCCTCTTGGGGCCTCTTGGGGGTTTCCTGGGGGCCTCTTGGGGGTATCTTGGGGCGGAGAGCTTGATTCTTCAGTTCGCGTTCCCTATCTTGGGCCCCTCTTGGGGCCTTCTTGGGACCCTCTTGCGCCGTTTTGGGCGGCTCTGGGGCCGTCTCGGGGCTCTCTTGGGCCGTCTTGGGGGCCTCTTGGGCCGTCTTGGAGCGGTTTTGCAAGCCTTTTGGGCGGTGCTTCAGCGCCGGAAGCGAAACAGCGATAATGTAAAAAACATGATCAAAAACCAGTGAAAATCAACGATTTTGCCCTTTCGGGGCGCTCTGAGGCGGCATCTTGAAGGCCTCTTGGGGCGTCTTGGGGGCCTCCGGGGCAGTTTAAAACGCATCGTGCGTTGCCAGAGACTCCTGGACGGCGTCTTGGGGGTGTCTCGAGACCGTCTGGGGCCGCCGGGATTGCTGTCTGTGGGCTCCCCGGGGCGACTTTAGGCCTCCCAGAAGCGGGCCCGGGCCCCGGGACCCACATTTGCGGTCGAGGTTCCGGCCCTCGGCCCACGAACCCGGTGCGCCGCTATATGTAGATGTATCCGTATATGTATGCATGCATGTATGCATGCATATGTGTTGGTTTGTGTAGATGTATGTATACGTATATGTGCGTGTAGATGTATATGATTATATGTATGCGTATGATTATGTTACTGTATGTGTATGTGTACTTCTACATACACACAGAGGTGCACACAATCATACATGCAAACGTACATGTATATGCATGTATGTTTGCATGTATATAGGTGTGTGTATGTTTGCATGTATGTATGTACGTACGTACGTACGTATGTATGTATGTATGCATGTGTGTGTGCTTGTTTGCATGTATGTTTGTTTGTATGTATATACACATATACATATATGTATGCACACACGTGTGTGTGTATGTATGTATGTACGTATGTTGGTAGGTAGGTATGTATGCATGTATGTATGGTTGTGTGTTTGTTTGTACGTATGCATGTGTGTATGTATGTATGCATACATGCATGCATGCATACATGCATGCATCTGTGTATGTGTGTATGCACGCATGGATGCTTGTATGTATGTGCCCATGTGTGTATGCATGTATACAGACATGCATGTATGGATGCGTATGCGTAGATGTATGTGTACGTGTATGCAAAGGTTGCATGTATTTAGGTAAGTATGCTTATCTCCGCCACCGTACTGCTGGGCACGGAGTGGGCGTGTCCTCAGGCCCTCTCAATACCTCTCTAAGCGTCAGTCGTCTCAGTCGTCGCTCCCGAGGGGTTCTTCAGGGGTTCGGAGCCTCTCGGGCCAGATCTTCTGGGGCGTGGCGCGGTTCCCCTGGGCCTTGCACGGGACCTCAAGAGGCCCCCAAGTCCAAGAGCGCTCCGAATCGCCGAAAGATCGCCCGAAGACGCCCAAGATGGCCGCCAGACGGCCCAAGAGGCCTCCAAGACGCCTCCCAAGAGGGACCCAAGAGGCCAACATCACTGAGTTCCCTAAGGTTTTCGATCGATGTTTGCGGTCTCGCCTGTTCGACCTCCCGACGTTCCCAGAGGGCCCTAGAGGCCCCCAAGACCGCCCCATGACGGCCCAAGAGGTCTTTCAGAGGAGCCCCAAACGGCCCAAGAGGGCCCCCAAAACATCCCCAAACGGCGCCCAAAACGGCGCAAGAGGGCCCCAAGACGGCCCCAAAAGGGGCCCGGAAGAGGGAACACAAACCGAACATCCAAACATTCCGCCGCAAGAGGTCCCCAGGAGGCCCCAAGAGGCGCCAAGGAGGCCCCATAAGGCTCAAAAGAGGCCCCTGAGAGGTAGGCGCCAAGAGGCTCCCAAGGGGGCCCCAAACTGCTACCAAGAAGCGTCCAAACTGCCTCCAAGAGGCCGCCGAGAAGCCTCCCACGAGATCCCAACGAATACCCAATAGGCTTCGTACCCACAACCGAGGCAAGGTGGCGAGATGGACCGAAGGTTAATTTGTTTTTACATAAGTATATGTGTACGTAGAAAGAGAGAGAGAGAGAGAGAGAGAGAGAGCGAGAGAGAGAGAGAGACGGAGAGAAAAGAGAGAGAGAGAGAGAGAGAAACAAAAAACGATCTAGTCTGAAAGGGGGGATAGATAGAGAGAGAGAGAGTAGTCTGAAAGAGGAGAAAGAGAGAGAGAGAGAGAGAGAGCGAGACAGAGAGAGACAGAGAAACGCACAATGAACAAAACAAACGAGAGGGAGGGAGAGAGGAAGGGACGGAGAGGAAGCGAGGAGGAGCGAGGAGACAGAGAACGGCGAGCAGGAGGAGGAGGAGGAAGGAGGAAGGGAGGAAGGGACTTAAGGCCAGAGGGAGGACCGAGGGAGGGCGATCGTCCCGCCGCGCTCCTGCACCACCGCACCAGCGCGCAGGCGCCCGCCAGCGCCAGAGCGGCGACCACCGGCCAGCCCGGCAGCGCGGTGGCCTCCCAAAGCCGCCCCTCGCGGCCGTGGGCGCCGGGCGAGTCCTGCGGCATCCGTGCCTGGGAGCCTCGGCCCTCGATCCTCCTCCTCGATCCACCTCGTCGTCTCGTCGTCGAACGGACGTGGAAAAAGCATGAACGAAATCAGCATAAACAATCGGAGCTCCGCGCGGACTTCGTGCATCGGCACTGAGCCCCGCTCCCTTGCGCGCGGATCGCGCCAGGGGCGGCGCTGGAGGCGCCGCCAGGGGGGCCCAACGCCGATCCGAGAAATCCGCGCGGACCTCCAAAGTCCATGCTCCTCGAGCCTCGGCCCTCGATCCGCCTCCTCACGCCACGAAAAATCTGTCACCGTGCCCCCTGGCAAGCTGAAGCGTGACAAGTGATCAGGGGCTGCTTGATGAAACTATTGTGTTACTTTTGTTGCTGGCCTGCGCGAAGAAGACTCAGCGTCACTCCCAAGCTCCATGAACGAAATACATCGACTTGAACGTGAAGCTCCGCCCCAAAATCAATCCACGCGGGCTCGAAAGAACGTAGGCCTCTTGAATTCGAAAAAGGATCCCCCCTTCAACCTTAAAGGGTCTTTAATCCACCCTCTTGTTAAAATGGAAACTATCTATTTGTTGCACGGGCTTATTGACGGATTGGGGCCAGAAACAATACCGGGAAAATAATTTCCCTCCCGCGGCGGCCACTGCTGAGGCCTCCGCAGTCTTCGGGGATTTCTGGGAATCCTGAACCCCCCAGGAAGCCCTAGGACTCCGAGGGATCCATAGGAGTCACAAGGATTCCTAGGCATCCTCAGGAATCCGAGAAGCCCCAGGGATTCCTAAGATTCCCATAGTATCCACCACACCGAACAAGCTGGCCACAACTATGGCGAGCTCTTACTGCGCACGATGACATGCACGAACCCCTTATGACGACGACGACGACGACGACGACGACGACGACGACAGTCGCGACGACGACGGCGACGACTCGACTTGAGATGTAGTGATTTGCCTTGCAATCTCTGTACAACTACATCACAGAAGACAAACTCCGCCAGGAGAAATAACGAGGCAACAACAAACCACAAGCGGACAACAGTCAGAAAATACTCCCGCCAGCGGAAAATCCGATCAAGCTGACAACAGCTATGGCGAGCCCTTGCTGCGCACGACTATATACGCCCTCCTTTTCTTCCTCCTCCTCCTCCTTTTTTCTCGGCTCCACGGCTCCACTACATCGCGCAGTGAAGACGGAGGGCGAGGGGGAGGGCGAGGGGGGAAAGGACGAATAGGGGGAGGACGAGGGGGATAGCGAGGCGAGGGGCCGGGCGAGGACTGGAGCACGAGGAGGGCCAAGGAGAGCGAGGAGGAAGGCGAGGAGGGGAGGGGCGACGAGGGGAAGGACGGCTGTTCCAAGCCGGAAACTCACGTGAGGCGGGGGGAGGCTCATCATCAAAGACCCTCTGCGGTTAGGAGCCGCTTGTTGCGTGCATCGCCCCCCTCCCCCAAGGCCACGATCCCTCGCAACAAAAACTATGAGCCCGTGGTCCGAAATTCTAAAGCGGCCCAAACAAGCAATTTCGACCATCGACCTTCGATCCTCCTCCTCGACCCTTAGGAACGAACTCCTGAGGTGTCTCCTTAAGAACGATTGAAAGCCAATCGAAAGCTAACTACGAAACCCGATTCGTGGCCATTAAGCCGGATTGACCCGGCTCGGGCGTAGGATTCAGACCGGTTAAGCCAGGTTTGGCGAGCGCTAAACCACAAATATGCCAGCGCCGATGCTGACTCGAATCTCCCAATAATTGCATCCTAACGATCCTCCGCGTCGTGTCGTCGCCGACGGGACTCAACAGGCGAAGAGACGTCGATGTCGCCCATGAACACCCGCCGACGAATGTTTCCTGTGGCTCCAAGGGACTGGTGACGTGCAACACCTTGGCTCGTAGTGGTGACTGCAACACCGCCGATCTCCCCGAGAGGCATCGGATCGGCGGCGCGCCCGCGGAGAAACTGAGAGGCAGGAGGCCTTCTCAGAAGGCGTCGAAACTCCTCATTATCCCCCCGGCACGTTGAGACGCCACGTATGTTCTCGTAGAATGCTTGCGAGCATTTTTGAAGGAGGAAAAAAGGCCCGCCCCCTCCGCATTCCCCCCTGGACTCGCCGCAGGTAGGGGCAATCCACATTTGAGCGCCTGTGTGTACATTTATGTTTCAGACCCCATCGACGCTCCTCGTCTAGGACGACGCCACGACGAGGACGAAATTCGGTGCGGTTGAGTTGCGAATCTCTGATATCCAACTGCGCGTATGGGGACACGGCCGAGGAACCGATCCTATACGATTGTCCGTTGGTAGAGGTCAAGGAAGGAAAGGTTAGCTATTCCTTGTTCCTGGGCGCCGCGCGGAACGCACCGCGGTATATGCACAAATACCTATGCTGATACGTTAGCGGTATATGACGATATAATGATGATATGAACGGACTTCACACGAGCGCGCGCCCCGTTGTGAATCCCGCCTGTTCCGCGCTGGCACCGGGCCCGCGGGATGCAACGGGGGGTATCGGGAACACAGGAGCGAGGTCCACTCAAAACGCCGTCATCCATACCGCGCATCCAAACGAGGTCGCATCGGCTAGGGACGATCAAAAATAAGCCCAACCCCGCCACGCACGGTACTCAGGCGAGTGTGCCCGCCTCTAGCGGGCCAAAGGGTGCGCTCCAAAAAAACGCTTCGGCATTCCTGGACGATTCCCCGCCGCCTCGGGCACCGAGGGTGGGAGAGCAAAAGAAACAATATCACATTGAGAACATTACTGCGTGCAGAGGCGCCGGTGTCTCCACCAGCGCACGCTGACGCGCGCGCACAGTAACGTAAAGCAAAATAGAATGGATCGGTGTTGTGACGACAACTCGATGGCAGCAACGGATCTCTCATTCACGAGGCTCTCCAAACCCAAAAGTCTACTCATGGCTCTCCCGGCCCAGATTCAATCAGTATTAAGATAAGACCTGTGAGAACAACTGATCAACGATGTAACGAAAAAATACGTCACGCGAGGCGCCTCGAAAAAAATACACGGTCAATGCGACACCGTGAAAAGGTGGCGACTATTTCATCGCAAGTATCGTGGGGCTATGCTTTGCATGTGTCGTACTCTGTGTTTCCAACTTCCCACGGAAGTAACGCGCATGAGCTTTGATAATCGTGTTGGCGGGCGACCTGCCTGGGTGCACTTATGCCCTAAGTGCCCAAATCGTAGTAAATGGTGTCAAACCCGTCAATATTTTTGTACTATAAAAAAGAAACCATACAATAGATCTCCAGAGATGCATGGTAACATTGCCACCTCATACAAATTCGCACGCATAGCCAAGAGGAGATCCATATACTCAGACCATTAATCTTCACAACAACAACAACTATAGTGCCGATGATATCGTGAAAGTCAAATTCGCGTCACAAACAAAGAAGTACTGGTTTTCCCAGAGGCGATGCGCGCGGTCGCCAAATCGTACGCGTGCTATTGCAATCCAGCCAAATGTGTTCACAATCGTGCTCATCAGTGTAAAACCACATGCTCAGGTAGTAGGGCCAATAGCGGCGCGCGTCGCACTCGCAGCGCTCGACCGACGCCGTGGCGCCGCGACGTTAGCACGCGGCGCTGGCGCGCCGCACAGCGGCTGCGCCCCCGCTTCGCCCCCCCCCCCGCGATCTCCGCCTCGGGGGCGCAGTCGGCCCCCGCGCGCGCGATGCGGAGCCGCCGCCCCCAGCCCAGTCAATGCCGCGGGCGGGGCCGCCGGATGACGCCGCGCTCGCGGATGGGACATCGCGGCCCGGGAGCGGAGGAGCAGAGGGCGGGGTGCGAATGGGGTCGGCGACAGAGGCAGGGCCAGCGCTCGCTTTGCCCTGCGCGGCACCTCCGGGGACCTGCCTGCAGAGTTCGGCCAGCGCAACGCGGCCCATCGCGCCCTGTCCTCTCCCGGAGGGAGCGGGGAAGGCGATGGGCCCGGGCTTGATGCGCTCATCTCGGTCGAGTGCTCCAAGGGCCTGCCTCGGGCGGCCCGCGAATCCCTGTTCCGCGCTTTCGCTGTGATATTGCACAGCGAGGTGCATGTCATCGAGCGCGCACGGTCTCTGACGGCTGGCAAAGCTTCCGCCGGTCATCTGAACGCAAACGGGCCGGCATTCCTGGAGCCGCTGCACCGCGTCAACGCATGGATGGCATAGCATCGCATCATCACCAAGTCACCCGCAACTGCGCCGCCCAGTCTGCAGGCCCCTGCAAAAGGTGAGCCAGCAGCGATCAGTGTGGCATGACGTGTCTCTGTGTTTGCTGCCTGCCTGCGGAGGAAGTTCTTTTCTTCCGCTCACTCCGAGAGTGCGCCTTGGAAACGAACATCGACGTCTGCACGCATGCTCTGGTTGACAATCTGGGCGTTCATATAGTTCCCAATCCACTGATGAGCGCCAGCGAAGAACTGAATCTGAGCTGCACCAGTCTCCCCGAAATTCCGCGGCGCCCGGCGCACTCTGCAGGTGCCACCGTAGAAGTTATCGGAGAGATCGCGGTAGCAGCTGTCATAATGGCGCTACCCCGTCTGCTGCCCCATGCGGACGCGGGCGTCTCCACCGGCACTCGAAGATCTACCGAGATCACGGAGGGCACGATCTGGGATCAAATGAGCGCGATCGGTGGCCAGATCGGCGGCCAGCGATACCAATCCCTTCTCAATCATCGGATCGGGAAGATCGCCTGCCGAAGTGGTCTCGCCAGCGTGGTGAGCTGAAGCCGCATGATCTGCGCTACCTCGGCGACGAGCTCGGCCCAGTTTCTTATTTCCCCCGGCAACTTCCAGCTTGTCGCCAGGATATGTTCGCAGGGCCGAAATGCTATGTTCCTGGGTTGGGGCAGCAGCGGACGCTGTGCTGCCTGGATCAGGGCCGGGGCCTGGGGAACTGGAAGGGTTCGGAAAGGCGGCAGCCTGTGGTCTAAGGATTCCAGACTTCAGGGAGTCGGTGTCTATCTCCATCGGGGCGCTC